TTATTGTTTAATTTAGTTTTAATATTTAATCTGAAATTATATTAATATAGGTGTAATATTAATATGTATGTTATTTTACTATATTATTTTAATTATTACTATTTTATATTGTTATTAATTAATCTATTTTCAAAGTTAATTATATAATATTAAAAAAATTATAATAATACATAATAAAACACTTGTTGTTAATATGTTGTTTTCTAAAATTATATAAGTAWTATATTTTATTAGTTAATTAAATTATTTTGTAATAAATAGTGTATTTTGTATGTAATTTATAAAAATTATAGAATATTTTTCCTTACAAATTGGTTTAATTTATATAATATTTTATKTTTTYATTTAATATTTTATTTTTGGTTCATAATTAATAGTTGTATTATTTTTTAAAAATGGTTTTTATTAACATAAAATTTTTTATTCATATATTAAACATTTTCTTTAAACTGTAAAACATATATTAATAAAATATAAATTATATCTGTTATAATGAATATGTGTTTAAAAATTATTTAATTTTGTCTATACCTTTACTAATTAATAGTTATAGTCAAATAAGATAATTAACAAAACTATTTAAAAATATAAATCATAAAATATGTTTAATTGTGTTTAAYTTAATAGATAATTAATGTATTAAAAATTAAATWGAATCTTACTTTAAAACAAAATTTYAATATTGAAATTATTCTTCTATTTTTTAATGATTTAATTTCTAAAAATTTCTATTTTTTAAATGTATTTCAGATTACAATTTTTCATTTTAYATTACTTAATACTTTATAAACAYAAAATACATTTACAATACTAAACACTTTTATAATATTATAGTCATGGTTAAGCAAGATTTTGGATTTTATGGGGGGGGGGGGGTCTAGGGTGGGGTCAACTCTAGAATGGAGTGGAGACTTTTATTGCATTTTTAAACGGCAATTTTTCAAAAATCCAAAACCCCCCTACCCCCCTGTTGCTTAACCCTGATTATAATATATATATAAATATATAMACTTTAGAAAAATACATTATTTTTATTCAATATTWTATCATTAATATAATAATCGATTTATATTATTATTCTATAATTTTAATAAAAAAAATAAATTCTAATATTATATAAAATCTATTCTAATATTAGAATTTAATTTTTTTATTAAAAAATATTTATTTTTTTAACGAGTATAAAATAATAATTAGTACATAATTATTATTTCTATTTTTTAGAATTATTTCAAATAAGATAATTAACAAACTATAATATTATAYAATAAATAACTAGTATTTTTCCATCCAATTGCATATAAATTAAGTATAGATTTTTAATTATTTGCTTAATATAGTTATTATTTAAATTATATAATAAATAAWAATATTGTTATMTAATAATAACTAGTATTTTTATTATTAACTTTAATTAAGTTATACTAGTTTTACATTTCCAGTCAGTATACAGTATTTAACAAACATATTTAAATTAAGTTTTCAACTAAATATTATACTAAAATATTATACTATTTTTTAGAAAAATTTATACTAAAAATTTAATATTATTAATATAAACAGTAATTATTTAGTCACAWATTTTTGTTTATCTATAATAGTACCTACAGTTTATTGTTKTTGCAAATATWTATTATTMAAATAAAAATAGTTGAAAATGAATAGTTTTGATTCATCAAAGTTATTATCAAAAAATATGGCCTATAAGTGGTCGGCCTATCATTTATATCGTATAGGTTTAAGTAATCATCGGATTGCCGATTGTTATCCCATTAGACACTGGTTTTATCGACCGGTTCTCATATTTACAATATCTGTCATATATTTAATTGAACGATTAATATCATTGTTTKTCATCRATGAAACAAATTGGCAAATGTTTGCACTGTTGGGTGATTTTGGCTATTTTTTTGGCGCCTGGATTCAAGCGAATATAATATTTATATTGTTATCATTGATAATAATAGTATCACAACTAACCTATTATTATTATTACTACATGTAYGGCATTGAACCGACTTTTTTGCTGGTCTTCAAAATGATGTCCGGTTTGCTGATAACACCCAAAAATGTTGGTCTAACTGATCCCCAAAAGATACAGAAACTTATCAAATTGATGACCMGATTGTGTAGATTTTGTCAGTTTAACACAGATTTTATWATACCTATTATAACAATTATTATGGTATTGCTATCCTATGCTCACAGATTGTCCCCAATTTGGGTCCTACTATATGGTGTACCCAATGGCTGTTATTTTGCCTTATTTAGTAAATATTTTTTCAGTATATTATWTTATCAGGTAATCTATTTTTATATAATGTGTCGCTATTTAAAGCTTAAAATGCATAAAATCTACARTAAATTGCTAAAAATATCACAACACAAAAATAAGCAGAAATTATACGTAAATATTATGAAACAAATKGACAAATTGTRTGCCGAAATTGCTGACTATAATCAAACCTATTGGTCAAAGTTTATACTAAATATATGGCTTTTTCTTGGATCGCCTATTGTTGTCACATTATATACCTTATTATGGACAGGTAGTCAATTGAATTTCTTACAAAAGTTAACTCTATTTTATGGTYTGATGGGATGTTTGATACCGTTTTTATTTATCATATTTACGGCCGCGTCGGTCAACAACTGTGCWAACAAAGCATACAAACTATTTAACAATAATTGTATTTAATTTGTTTTTTAAAATTTAAATAATATTATTCATTAATGTTAATTATGATAATAAATTTATAATTAGTCAATTAAATTATTGTAAAATGTATTAATAATAATTATAAAAATATTGTCTTTTATTTGTTTTTATCTATAATTCAATTTGGTTTCAACTTAAAAAATTACAATAATTTAGTCAATTGTATTATTAAAAATATTTTTTAATTATCTTATTTTATATAAATTTCAAGTATGAAAAAAATTAAAACAAACTTTACTATAAAAATAATATTTTAAAAATTTATTTTTACAGCATTGTATTAATATATAAATATTGATATTATTTTATTTTGTCATTATCGTTACATATTATTAAAATAAATAGTTATTTATTTCACAATTATTGTTGTTATACTTTTTTTATTTTTTTAAAATTTTTATTATGCATTTTTTATGACAATATTATTTTTTATAATAATAATAATAATTGACTTTAGCTTAACAATTTAAAATTTCCAATATTTATGTTATTTATTATTGTATATATATATATTATATACAATTAAATTATTTTTTTGTGTATTAAAATAAATTTCTACTTAATGTAATTGTATTTTTATAATATTAGATAAACATATTTTTTTAGTGAATAATTACTGTATTTTTATTACTCTTATATTATTGTCGTTGTTTTTTCATAATATTTTTATTAAATAAATAGTTATTAAGTTCACAATTATTATTGTTATGCTTGTAAGTTACAAGTTGTAACTTATTATTGTAAATATATTTAATGAAATAAATTGTTATTATATCTAATATATATATATATATATCTATAATTATAACTCTTATAATAAATAATAATAATTAACTAAACAATTTAAAATTTCTAATATTTATATTATTTTATGCTATTTTTATTAATTATTCTATTTATGAAGTTATAATTTTTTTTTAAATTGTAATTATATTCTGGTACTGTATTATAATACTAATGATAATTTTTAAATAACAATATTATTGTTTTGTCTAATAATTAATAAATATAACTTATAGACAAATAAGTTAGTTAGCATAATATTTTAATTTTTATAAAAATTATAAATTATTATTATATTTTATAATTGATTAGTACATAATAATAGCTAAAACCAATACAAAATTATTATTGACTATAAAAATAAATTATTTAAGAAATAATAGAAAAATTAATTAATTAGTATATTGTATTTATTAGCTAACAGTATATTGAAAAGACAAAAATTTAGTTAATTTTTAATTTTTAAAAATTATTTACTTAATATAATACTAAATTTAATTATACTATCTAGCAATTTGTAAATAATTTAATATTATTATTATATATAATTGTATAAATTTAATATTAATGTAAATATTAAA